AATTTTGAAGCAAACTACCCAAAAAAAAGTTTGTAAAAAAATGAATCCGCCTCAACAATATAGAACTTATCTACAAAGTTTGCGTTGGTTTGTGATGATTTCTATGTGAAAATTCTGCAGGTTTGCCTCCGGATCAAACACTGTTGGACGCCGGCCAGAAGAAATTTGGAATCACGCTATGCAATGAGTGCAACTTGATGTATCACATGGGCGATCCTAATGATGAGCTGCACCACTTAAGCTACCACAACTCTGAGCATATTTTACGTTTTGCTGTAAGGATCAGATGGGTTTAATCGCTCAGACGTTTGGTGCTGATGTTTCACGGTTTCAGGGCTGGAAAAATGAGCATTTGATGGCCGATTTCCAGGACAAGGGAAGAGTCATTCGGGTGTTACCAACCGACTCGAAAATCTGGCTGGCGAAGGTGAAAGCTCTTATGGGAGTGGTGAATCGCGACTTGGGTTGCTACGAGATGGATTGGAACATCAGCCAATCCCAGGTAGGTTTGTTTGGCTTTGTTTGGCTGTTACTAAAAACCCTGTTCCAGGTTTATTTATACGTGAAAAATAGGGTGATAGTTGGGTGTGTTGTTGCCACAGTTCCAAATGGTCCCGGGTTCCGTATGCTGAACAAAGTGAATGGCATTTTGCTGTGTTCGGAAGAATCCTACCCGATAAAGTGCGGAGTTTCCCATATTTGGGTCGCAGCGAATAGTAGACAGCAAGGTAGATAATGATTTTTTTTTCAAAATTTTCAATTCAAATAAACAACAAACAGCTAATGAGCCGAGTAAACCATTTGCCACTAATTGATCTGTGTGCTCTGCCAGGTGTGGGAACCATACTTTTAGAAGTGGTCAAAAGGACGTTCATTTTTGGAGAAGCTTTGTCCAACCAGGATGTTGCGTTAACGTCGCCCACTGAAGACGGAGCGGCATTCGCAGAGAAATACTTCAAGACGCCCAATTATTTGATTTACTACAGCTAAACACTCAGTATTATTGCTAATGGGCTGTAACCTTTTGCCCACTAGTTTTTAAGTGCGTGATTTTTGTAAATTTTGTATTATGTGTTAGAGAAGTCAGATCTGTTTTGTGGACCTCCAATCATCACTCATGAGTACAAGCCAGGCCATTTGTAGTGTAAGTTACAGAACGTTTTTTTATTTTTTTATGAACTTATAAAATGTATTAAATTAATTTTGTGCACATTTATTTCGGTTAGTAAAAGCATCAGGGGGCGAATTATGTAAATATTCCGATGGATCCGACGGAGCAAAAATGATTTCTTCAGCGTTTTAAATGTGGAAAAATTGCGCGAAATCAAAACGGTTCCTTATCGATGGTTCACTTGCTAGAAAGGCCATTTATTCCTCTCTAGAATGATGTACAAATGAGCGTTCTTGCTCATTTTGCTTCCGAGATATGAGCAAAAACCGGACGAAAAACATGAAATTTTGGCATAATCACACACTAGATATTTACTGAAATTCGGAAATATCCATACACAAGAGAGAGAGCACAGGCCTATAAAAGGTTTGACCTGCATGCAGCAAAACTTGACAACGCCGCAGATAGCGTGTCCAAACTGAACATAACCCGTCATAAATAATTGAAAATTAACAACAGAGACAGGCATTTGTCTCTGTCAGAGACAAGTTTCTGTTAACAAACAAAATATTATTCCAGCGACAAACTAATCGAAACTGGCACTTATTAGCCATGTCCGAAGCTCTAGATGCACCTGGCTGCAGTTTCAGCTTCAAGAAGCGCAACGTTAAAAGTAAAGCGGTGCGAAAACGACAACAATCTACTTCCGGAGAAGGTAAATAGGGCGATTTTTTATAAAGCATTTCTTTTGTGATTGCTACGAAACGGTGATGTTTAGAAGAGAACCAGAGTGGCAGCGAAGATGAGGAGCAGCCCGCAGTTGTGCGGCGCATGAAACGAAAAGCCAAAATCAACCCCAACATTCAACGCACTGGTAAACAGGAGAAGAGACAGAAAGCAGATCAGGAAATCGATGGCTCTGGCTCAGATAGCGACGAAGTCATGGTCAGCTACAAATCCAATCGCTCAGCAATGCCCTCCGGGCCGCAGGATCAAGGAGCAACTGCTGTTTTGGTAAGGATCAGAAATGCCTTTTGAATGTTTCAAGGCAAAAGAAACCTTGTTTGGTCTTCCTTCTACTAAAGCAGTTGCAACTTGACTACGTTTAAAAAAGTAACATGAGCTTCATTATAATCTAATATGCATGCAAGATCCAATAAGGTCTAGGATTGGAAGGCTTTCAAAGTGGCTATAGTTCTCTTACCTCTTCCCTTGTATTATCTGGGTTGTTGTTAGGTTTCTTCGATCTACAGCTTCTGGTCAGTTGCAACGCAACTGAGGGCTTTTTTCAGCAATTATTCTGCCGCTGTTGCAATTTCTTTTGCGTTGACTCCCACCAAGAGTGTTCAGTACACTTTAACATCACCTACGATGAACGATGAAATTAATGAATAATTAAGTCTTGCAAAAGCGATTGCTCCTGATAAACAAACTCCTTGAAACGGCTTTTCTTTCAGGAAATTGAAACGGAAAAAGACAGGGACGCCCAGGCGATTTTCGAAAAACGACTCGAAGTGAACAAGGAACTGGAAGGAAAAGAGGATGATAAAGTGTACAGGGGACTGAATAATTACCATCAGTACTTCAAGCCTAAAGATACGGCAGCAGGAAATGCCAGTTCAGGTAAATGAACGCACGAAAAGAAGGAAACACATTTTTTTACACAACTACAACCTTTTCTTAATTGAAGGAATGGTTCGGAAAGGTCCAATTCGAGCACCTGAAAATCTGAGAGCCACAGTAAGATGGGATTATCAACCGGATATTTGTAAAGACTACAAGGAAACTGGGTTTTGCGGGTTTGGCGATAGTTGCAAATTTTTGCACGATAGAAGCGACTACAAGCATGGCTGGCAGCTGGAACGCGAGTGGGAAGAAGGACGGTAAGTCCCAATTATCGGCAATAATTGCCCGTGTTTACTAAAGTGGATGTTTTAGCTATGGGGCTGATAGTGATGACGACGCGAAATACGAAATAAATTTCGACGAAGAAGAGTTGCCATTCAAATGCGTGATTTGTAGGGCTAGTTTCGTAAACCCCGTCGTCACCAGGTAGATTTACTGGCTAAGGAAATACTTCTGGCTGTAATCGCGGTCCATTTTCAGATGCAAACACTATTTTTGCGAAAAGTGCGCCTTGGAAAGATACAAGAAGACTATGAGATGTTTTGTGTGCAACGCCCAAGTAACCACATTGAATCCCGCCCGAAATCTCATCACCAAACTGAAGAACATGGAAAAGGAACAGAAGCAATCAGGGGAAGATTCGGACTAATCCGTTCAATTGCGTAAATAATAAAAAATATATATTTTTAATGTACCACAGAAGTTATAGCTTCGGATTAAGATGCCACAATTTTAAGGATACTGCGAAGAGAAGTCGTACTCGAGCTCCAAAATCGCACTGTCAGTCTCTTCTGGCACGGGGCATTTTTGATGCATCCTGCAAAAATCTAATTGTTTATTGGGGCCCGATTTCGGGGAATAAATAGTACCTCTTAATGTGCGTCTTCAAGCTACCCTCCTCTCCAAAACTGTTCAAGCAATAGTCGCAGGTGTAAGGCCGATGGCCTGAATGTAACTTCGATATATGCTTGTGCAAATCATCTAGCTGATCGTAGCCTGGAACCCCGGAATTCCCCACTGTTGTACTCGTCTTTTAAGGAAAATTCCTGAATATTACTTTACCTTTATCACATTTTATACAGGGAAATTTCTTGTTTTGTCCGTGCAGGCATTTTTTGTGCTTCCGTAGAACGTCTTTCGATGAGTACAATTTATGGCAAACGTCACATTCCACCCTTTGCTTTCGTTCTTGTTTCTTCTGGGAGCGTTTTTCTGTCTTTTGGTCTTCAACTTGAATATCTGGCAATTTTCTAAAAATGTCCAATTTCAAACTTGACCAATTAATTGAATCCTGTGGTAACTGAACGTACGTTGAACTCAACTGAAGCTCACTATTTACATCAAGTGCTGCTAAATCGTCCGCCGTTCGTGATACGTTCGACTCAGCTTCTGAGCTGATAATAAAGCCATACGGCTGCAGCTGCTGAAAAAGCTCAGTGGACTCCATCGGGACCCAATTAAGCTGTTGAGAGTCAACTAGCACTACGGGCTCCTAAAAAATGATATTTTTTGTGGCTGAATGGACAAACCACCCGTTCAAGCCAACCTTATCTACGGTTTGTGGACCTTTACTCAAATCATTGCTTTCCATCTGCTCAGCCAAGTACTTAATCAGTTTAACGCCTGCCAGTTTCGCAGGATCTTCAGCAACTTTCTGATTATTTAAATGATTTTTCTGATGGGTTTTTCGTGTTCCTATGGTACGAAAGGTCTGCTCGCAGTACTGGCACGCATAAGGCTTGGCACCTATAAAAGAAATTATCAAGTTGGATTCGTTGCGCTGCGGTTTTGCACGAAATTGGCACATTTCCAGTACAAACCTGTATGCTTCAGCATATGCAGTTTGAGGGAGGATTTGGTGGTGAAGTTCGTGTTGCAAACATTGCAGGTGATTTTCGGGACTTCTGCAATATTGTGGGTCCTAATATGCCCCTGTAGCGTGGCTTTAAGCGAAAACTTCTTATGGCAAGTGTCGCATTCGAAGGGTTTCTCGCCCGTGTGCGTCCTCAGGTGTCGTTTCTAAAATGCGAACCAAATCAGCACCAGCCTTTCCAGACGCTTGAAGGCTTTACCAGATCGGAAGGCTTCTTAAAATCGCGGCAACAGTATTTGCAGATCTTGTCAGCCAGATCTGGGTGCAGAAACAAGTGTTTACGATACTGTTCTTCTGATTGCATGGCCGATTTGCAATGTTTGCAGTATATCTGCGGGGCTTCTTCCACATCGTCGACATAGTGCTGAAGTTGAGACTTTCTGCAAGCAAATATTCTTATTTTTGATTAAATGCAAATTACCGCGAAAATCACATTGTACCGCCGGGCAAATTGCCCACGATTTGATCTGGCGTCGGCATGCTGAACGTTGGGCATTCGAAAATTATTTCGGGCATCTTTTTCACCACTGCAGGAGATTGGATAACTGGCACGTTGTTCACAGAACCAGTTTCGCTGAAAATCTAAAAATCCAATCAAAGAATCGGTCTTTTTGTATCTTTTTCAAGCCTTCAAAGGTAGATTTGGCCTAGCGCTTTCGACTGTTTTAATCATCATCAGCCCCTGATGACTACATTCCAACGTTCAGTACAAAAAAGCAAAAGTTTACGCGGTAACAAACTTCCTTGGATCCATACCTGGCTTTTGACTGTATGAGTTGTTCCATCCTGAATAATCAATTCCAAGTTGTTCTGTTCTGCAGCAGTTCGTTCCTCTGAGCAGATGTGATTTTCGAATAGCGCGCAACTGGAGAACAGTTTGTGGCAATTAATGCAAAGCACTGGCGAGTTGGATATTATGTCGCTATCCAATTCTTCTGCAAAATAATAAAACTTCAGCCCAAAGATAATTTTCACGTATCTCCCACTACCTGAAGAGCTGATAATGCTGATGGGTATATCGCTCAGATTCACGGTGTAAAGGTCTTGGGCATCGGATTCAAGTAGAGTATCAGATTGAGCAGGTTCTGAGGCGGTTTCAGACAACTGAGGTTTGTCCAATTTATTATACTTCAGTACTTCGTTAGGATCCACCATGTCGGGTTTACCTGGGTCAATGTTAAAGAAAACAGTGGCGGAATCTTGCAAACTGTCCAGCGAATTATAAAGGTTTATATTCGGAATCAGGCTGCTCTGGCTCAAAATCTCATTGCCACTAATATTAAAGCACATCATGTTATAGTCTGCTGGCAATTGGGTAGGCGCATTAGAGCCTTGCTCTTCTGAGACGACGCTCAGAAGTGTTCCATTGCTCGCTGCTGAGTCAGCAGTGCTCTGAGCACCGTTGGCTAACTTATCTGGCTGCTTAACAAAGGACAATTCTTTTTGCGGATGACTCTTTTTCATGTGTGCCCGATAGCGACCAGCGGTCTTAAAAGCTTTGCCACAGCAGGGACACTTGTGAGTGGGCTTCGCTCGCCTGTGAATGGCGCAGTGAGTGGTCAACAGTGCCAAACTTTTAAATATTTTGCCGCAAGTCGAGCATTTGAATTTCGAAATTTTAACGTGGATGTTCCCCTGCGTTTTTCGCTCGGATTCCCTGAAAACAACTTTTTAAACGGCTCAATGTTTATTATTTTGCATGCAATACTGACTGTGGACGCGCTGTGTTATTAGAGTTTTTGTCGTCATTGTGCTGCATCACGTGGCTTGCCAAGCTGTTTATTCCGGAACATTTAAAACCGCATATTTTGCAAAGCAGCGCGTTTTCCTGGGCGGTTTCATTAGCCACGGCACTGGGCGCCGAGCGTGCAGATGGAAGCGCTAAATTTCCTAAATCCTGCGTTTTATTAAGGCATCCTGAACAATTTGCCTGATACTTACCGGAAATGGACTCGAAGCTGTTGTCACTGGTTTGAAACTCGTTTTCATGCTCCAAGCCGTGCGCTTTACTTTCCTCGATGGTTGGAAAACGCCTTTCACATACCAAGCAGAGATAGTCAGTTCTGACTACTTCCTGGTCTCTGTAGAAGCATTAAATTAGGCAAAGCCAAAAAGTGTCTTAAAAAAACTCACGCTGCTGGCGCTTGACAACTCTCAGTCGTGCTGCATTCAACTTCTAGTGGTGAGTGCTGGATTTTGAAGTGGTGCGTTAAAGTGGTTTTTAAGGAAAATGTTTGCTCGCACTTTGGGCACTGGAAACCGATTGATTAATGCAGTTTAAAAAAATGCTGTGACGCAAAAACACACCTTAAAGGGCTTCTCCAAAGTATGCGTTCTAAAGTGCCTGATGAGATCCGAGGGTTTCTTAAATCGGCTGGAGCAATAATTGCAAAAATACCATCGAACATCGCCGATTTTTTCATGTCGGATCGCATAACGGCGAATGCCGTTATCCCCCTGGTTTTCTGCTAAATCGACTTCGGGCATTTTCGCCTGTTGAATTGAAGTGACGATAAAAAAGTAAATAACCCGCAAACACGTATTACCTTGTCCTGCTTGGACACAGATCGGTTGGGGTCATTATTCAACTCCTTTAAACCGCTGACGACTTTGTCGATGACGCTTTGCGGGTCCGTTTGCTCTTTAGGCGTCTCATTCCCAGTATCCACATGGGCTTTAGTGATATGGCCGTTCAAGGATGAGACTCTTTTGAACATACACGAACACTGGGGGCATCTATAGTTTTCGTTGTTCTCATGCGGAGAGTTGTGAGTTTTATTTATGTGAGCGGTAAGATTTCCTGAAAAGATACATGCAGGTTATCATTGTTAACACTAGGAAAAAGTCACAGGTTGTTCCTCAATTGAACCACAAACAAATGTACCTTTCTGAGTGAATTTCGCCGGGCAGAGCGGACAACTATGGGGTTTTAAGCCTTTGTGTTTGTCCAGATGTAGCTTCAACGAGTTGCTTTGCGCGAATCCTTTATGGCAAATGTGACACTGGAACAAACCGTACCGTAACATTGCCAGAGTGTTCTAAATAACGCTACCTTAAACGGCTTTTCGCCTGTGTGCACTCTTTCATGGCGCTCCAACAGGTAGAACTTTGGAAACACTTTCGTACAAAACCGGCATATCAGCTTTTTGCGATGGTTTCCTGTGCGTTTCTTTTTAGTCTTTCGGTTCTGAAAGGCCGGGCGTTATTAATGAAATAGTCAGTAAACGAATCAAATACTTTATGACCGTTTTTCCTCTTGTCCTTGTGGGTGGCTAAATGTTTTTGATACTGTGCAGGCGTTTCCAATTGGATTTTACAATAGCGGCACATTAGTGGGTCTATTGGTTTCTTTATGACTGCATGACGCTCCATATGCTTCAAGAGTGCATCCTAAAGTTCCTGCAGTTATGAGCAGCTTGACCATGGTTCAGAGACACTTACGTAACTTGGTAACTCTTCGCAACATCGTGCGCACGGGTACATTTCCTCCTCTTGATGGATTTGCACGTGAGCTTTCAAGCTGGCCTTTCGATGGAACGATTTCTGGCATATGGGGCATACATTGGAATTGCCCGGGTGCTTCGTGACCATGTGAATTTTCATGTTGTTTTCTGTCAAAAAGCGTGCGTGGCATTGAGGGCAACCGAATTTTTCCTCCGCCACATGCAACTGAAACTTTCCAACTACATTCCGTTCTTCCCCAACTAACGCTTGTCTTGCACCTACCTTTAAATGTTCTCGAAAAGCGGGCAAACCATCAAACTGAATAGCGCAGCAGGCGTAATAAACTGCGTCGTCAGAATCTACCGGTGGTCTGTGAGTTTTGGGTGCGTCCTGGTTTGAGTTGGCAGACTTTAAAACTGATCTTGCTGAGTACTGAATGACTGAGTCTTTCTGGACGCTGCTGAAGAAATCGCATTAATACAAAACACCTCTGAATCTCGATGTATTGATCACCTAATGACCGGGACCTTATTCGAATGCTCGAAATCCACTATTTCTGCCTGCTGCTCTGTTAGGTGTAAACTGTAAGTTCGCTGAAATTCCGCAAATTCGTTAAGCGACTGTATCACAGGAAATCAAGGCACTTACATCAGTTTCACAGGTAATGAGCTCGAAATGGGTTTCATCCAGCTGCTGGATGGTGTATTTCGGAGCCGCTTGCGATGAGCTCATTTTCAGGCTCTCAAATAAGAGGTCCATTTGTAAAAGGTCTGAAGACAAGCAATTTTCCGAAATTGCTAGGACACTGTCCATTTTCCCGTACTTAATGCTCAATTGTTTACCATCAAACTTTTATAGGTTAGCAAAGTGTAATATGTGCAAATTTAATTAAAACACAGTACTTAGGGAGGTAAATATTTTTCAGAAAGTTGTGAAGAATTTGTATAAATCATAGAGCAAGTAAAGTAAGTATTTTATTTGCTTTATGGTATAAATACAGTTGAATCAGTAAACAAATTGCAATGTCAAGTTTTTTGACATCTACTTGGCAATGGACAGCAAATCGGGCAAAGATCTAATTTTTGATGCCACTTTGGCAACGGCGCTAGAAGGCTGTCATTGAACAGTTATACATTTTTCTTCCGAAAATTGTTTTGAGAAAATGCTTTCTATGATGTTTCGTACAAAAAACACGCAATTGATCGCTCTATCTGCCAATGAAAACTGGACCTGCGTAGCTCACCTGGAATACTTTAAGTTAAGTTTAAGAGTCTGGAATTTCGAAAAATTCTGAAAAGTTTTTCCATCATTTATATTTTTCTTAAAAGACTTCAAATTGTATTTAAAAAAAGTTCGATTTTTTCCCTGCCTACCTAATTTTCGTTAAGCGCACGTTGAACTAAGCATGATTTTAATTGAATGGATGCGAAGGCGTCTAAATATAAAGGCTATAAACAATCTGACGCCGAAAATAGAACCGCTTGGTAAATATCAGCCTCTTGAACATGGACATCTTGCCCAGTCTCAATCCAGACCTCGTCTTATGCGAATTGCCATAAAATGCCAATAAATTGCCCGAAAAATGGATATCGACGCTGAGTTAATGTTCGAGTGCCTCATCTACCTCAATCTCTTTTACTTTCCGGTCTTTGCCACCTGCGAAACCGTAATGACTATAGCAAAATACAAAAGTATTATCGACACCCCGTATATTGGGCAAGACGCCGCAGTAGTTTTCACACGTTTGGTATCGGAACTTACCAAGATTTTGCTCTACAGGAAATTTAAGGAAGAAAAAAGGAGTAAGTAGAGAACTTTTTTCAATTAGGTTTTATCGGAAATTCCTACACAATAGAATATTTTCTCTCCTGGGCTTCAATCATTGTGTGAAATATTTTTTATATCGTCTATTTCGTTACGTTTCGGCGAGACAGCAGCGCCATCATCAGATTTTAAAATTCATTCAAACTCATAATTGGTAAACATTATATTCATTTAGGTCTTTGCTGAAAGACCTAAATGAATATAATGTTTACCAATTATGAGTTTGAATGAATTTTAAAATCTGATGATGGCGCTGCTGTGTCGCCGAAACATTACAAAATAAACGATATACAAAACAAATTTCTGTCTTTAACGTTTTACAAAATCCTTAACATTTCAAAAGTTATAAAAAGAAGAGATTTAAGAGCCAAAGTAAAATTTTCCAAATGTTCATGTTCGCTTGAAGTTTCGGCGCCTGTACCACGAAAAACGTTAAAAATATCTGAATAATCCAAACTAACTCCAAAACTATTGCTGATATTTTAATAATCATTATAATCTTTTCGATAGCGAGTTTCATGCATTTAAACGAGGCAAAACTGATAATCGCAAATAATTTTTTTACAGATTTGGTAACTGGAATTGCAGTGTTTTTCACTTGCATCACAATCTCCGGGCTGGTTTACACATTTTTCATTCAGAATCCCGTTCTAAAGCTGGAACACATCCTGAATTCTCTCACCGTAATTCTGGCCCTTACTGAAGTCGGCTTTGGAGTGTTGCAGCTGGCGCTTAAATGTTTCAGAAAGAATCCGTACTATTAACGTTTATGTTTCCTTTGTGCAAATTCAACCAGAAGAAATAAACGCATTTTTTTCAATTTTTAAAGTGGACAATTGTCTGCTCATATGTATTACCTACATTCGGCAATAAATGACTTGCTTTGCGACGGCATAAAACGGGATTAAGTGTTCGAATTGTTCTAATTCAATTGCATTATCCGCAACTATATTAAGGCTTGGACAGAAGGTAATTAAGTTTAATGAGATAAATTATCTTAATCCTCTACGAATTGAAATTGAAGGAGTTCAGATAATAGTGGAGTGTTTCGAAGATTCGCACTAAAATCGTATGAATAAACATGTTTTCGAAACAGGCACAACAAATGCGACGATCAACAGTTCAAGCATGGTTTTTTTCCAAAGATCTCAATCTCTCATCATCAGTGACCAAGCAGCGACTTGAAATTCGAATAGTTCTTGAGAAACATCAAAAAAAGCAGCATCATGTTCAAGTGGATTTTGCAACTCAAAAAAAAACACGCAAATTTAAAACTTCTTGAATTCAAGCATTTTTTGAGAAAACTG